GGTGAGCCAAGTGCCCCTAAAGAAAAAAAAAAAAAAAAAACACTTCTCCAAAAAAAAAAAAAACCTCACACATTGTGCATGTATGCCCAAAATCCCAAGAGGAGGATGGAGGAGAAGGGATTGGGATGTCTGTCTCTGTCGAGCACACGTGCTTGACAAAAATCTCTCTTAAAAAAAAAAATATATATGCAGGACTAGTAGGTGGTGTGGTGGTTAAGGTGCTGGACACTCCCACATGGCTGACCACAGTTCGAGTCCTGAACCTGGTGGCTTGTTTTCTCAGTTTCCCTCTCTCTCTCTCTCTAGTCAAATTAAAATAAATGAATAAATAAATAAAATTAAATAAATAATTTTTAAAAAAAAATAATAGGGGATTGGCCCTGTGATGCAATAGAGAAGAACTGTGCCGAGAAAGCTGGATCCCACATGGCTGACTGGGGTTCAAATCCCAGACTTGGAGACAACACACCAGACACATGTGCCCAGAATCCTGATAGGATGGAAAACAGATTGCTGTGTGACCAAGCCCCACTGAAAGGTACCTTCTTGCTCTCTAACTCTGTCTCTCACCCCCTTCACGTTTGTGAGTGCACATGCCCTCTGGCATTAAAAAAAAAAAAAGTGCTTGCAGAGCTAGCAGGTGTTGTGGTGGTTAACGAGCTGGATTCCAAAGGCCGACTGCAGGCCAAGCCCAAGAAAATGGCTTGAAAATCACACTGGGTGTGTGTGCGTGCGTGCGTGCGTGTACGTCCAGAATCCCCAGAGATGAATGAAGAAGGGACTGCAAATGGAAAGGCTTTAAAAAATAGGGCACAATCTACCACATTTGCTCATTTTACTAAGCAATATGGTTCAAAAGATACTTGTCTGTTTCCAAAAATAAGCACATTCCTTTTCCCTACTGAGTACATGCAACAATAAGCTCTCAGTTGGGAAGGAGCTAGAAAAAATTTTTTAGAAAAAGCTGTGTTGGTCATGTGGGTGTCACTCTGGCCTCCCTGCTCATCATTGTGTGATCTTTAACAAACTGCTCTGCCCCTCCCAGTCTGAGGTCCTGCTTTAGAAATCAGGAAGTAAGATAACAATCACCCTTCACCTAAAATACAAAAGACACCTCCCATGCTTCCCCCTCATGAAAGACATCTTTTTTCGTCTAAATTCAGAAAACTTGGGGAATAACAGACAAACTGGCAACTTCTCTCATGCTCACATGCTGTTTCCTTCTTGTTTCTGAAAGTATCTCACGGTTTGACTACTGTTCGTGATTTTTATGCAGAAGGGGGTAAAAGGATTAGATAAACTGCAAGAGTCTGCAGCTGGACCACCAAATGTATTTCTCCCCCCTCCCCGACTGAATCAATGCTATGAAACTTGGTACCACTTTCAGGGGTAAAATAGTTAAAAAAGCTTTGCTGGGCTGGGCAGGAAGCCTAGCCACCTTTCATAAAACTGTTTCTAAGAAAAACCAGTGGAGAGTTTCGAATGAACTTCTGGAACTCAGCTGCCTGCACAAGTTACCTCAAATCAGTGGCTCTCAGAAGGAACCCCTTGGAATCTGTGGGGTGTTTCATGCTTATTGCAATGACTGAGGGGAGCTACCAGGCATGTGCAAAGCAGGGACCCTGGGTGATGTGTTTAAAACTGCTTTGTACAGGGCCAAATCATCCATACTGTTGAGGATTTCTCAGGAGTGCTACAACCTCTGTGTAAACTGAGAGTAGAATTTGGTTCAGGACTTTATCAAGAGCTGTTGACCAGTTTGAAAAATTATCACTGACAGCAGTGCCCTGTGGTATTAGAGGCGCACATACATGGCACATTTATAGGTCTGCACTTGTAACTACCCCATTTACAAGAGTTCTACATAAAGGTACAGGGCCTGGGGCCAGCAGGTAGCATGGTGGTTAAAGACACTGGACTCTCACATGGCTGACCACGGTTCGAGTCTTGGACCTGGCAGCTTGCTTTCCCACTTTCTGTCTCTGTCTCTCTCTGGTCAAATTAAAATTAATAATAACAACAACAATAATAATAAATAATTAAAGTTAAATAAAGCAATTTAAAAAAAGGTATAGGGCCTGTGTTGCCTATTTACATACTAAATGCAATGACTTTGTTATAAATTACTCCCTCCAACTTAATGTTACAGCCTATGGATTATTTGGAAATAATACATAAAGGGAAGTTTTATTTTCAATGAATTCCTTTTCAGGACAGAAAAAGAGACATCATAAAACAATTATTTTCTTTCTTTTTCTCTTTTTAAAAAGTATTTATTTAATTTTATTTATCACTGTCATCTATTTTTTATTCACCAGAGAGAGAGAGAGAGAAAGAGAGAGAGGGAGAAAGTGAGAAAGCAAGCCAAGCCGCCAGGTCTAGGATTTGAACTGCATTCAACCATGTGGCAGTCCATCATCTTAACCACCATGCCACTCACTGGCTCCACTTCTTTTCTTTCCTTTTTTTTTTTTTTTTAGAATTATTTATTTTATTTATTTACTTTTTAAAATTTGTTATAGGGCACGTGCACTCACCAGAAAGAGAGGGAAAGTGAGAAAGCAAATTGCCAGGTCCAGGACTCAAACCTCATATGGCCATGTGGGGAGTCCAACACCTTAACTAACATGCTATCTGCTGGTTTCGTAGGACAAACATTGATACTAGAATTCTGAATTCCTGTGCTGAACCCTGACGATTTTGTATGAAAGGAATTACTCATTCCTTTCCTTTTTTTTTTTTTTTAGAATTATTTAATTTTAATTTAATTTAATTATTTTTAATTTGACCAGAGAGGGAGAGAGAGAAAGAGAGAATGAAAAAGCAAGCCACCAGACTCAGGACTCGAACTGTGGTTGGCCATTTGGAAGTCCAGTGCCCTGAACCACCATGCCACCTGCCAGCCCTGAAATACTTATTTTCTAAAGGGTAACTGGGATCCATTGGCCTGAAAAGCCATAATGAATGGTTCATTTGTCTGTGTCATCTCTCGCCTAGCCCAAAGGTGGTCCTCATTAAATATCTGTTGAATATAGTTCTGGCGTTAAAAAGGTCAGCCTTGTCATACTGCAGTCATATTAGACATTAATCTCTCCTCCATAAAATATCTAACTAGATAAGTATCAAACTAGTTTGGCAAGTTACATGGTGTGATAGTTAAGGCAGCTAGATCCCACATGGCCAACTGAGCAGTTCAAGTCCCAGACCCGATGGCTTAAAACACATGCCAGGTATGTGTGGATGCATACCCCAAATCCCAAGAGGAGAAGGGGTTGCATTGTGACCATCCTCCATGGGGGTGATTCTCACTTTCCCCCTCTCTCTGTCTCTGTCTCTCTGATGTGTGCACTTGCACATACCATTTCATACCATTTAGCAAACTAAAAAAGAAGTAAATCAATAAATAAAATATCTAACCAGTAAATAGCAAATGGATATGCAAGAACTAGGATTTCGTGCCCCCCACCTCCTTCAACACTGAAACCCAACAGCATGGCCCCCTGGGATGGGCACCAGACTGCATCACAAGACACAGAATCTGCTCCTACTGCTCTTAGTTACAATTGATTATGCCCATAACAACCAGAAATCCTTTCTAGTTTTTATAAGCTTTGTAAATTACAAAATACTCCTGGAGTTCACCCTGATGAAATCTGCCATTTGGGCAAGGTATCTCTACAGGGACACCCTGCTCTACACACAGACTGACCGCCATGGGATTCTTAGCTGTACGTCAGCATTACCTGGTCTGAAAGCCGACTTGCCGCTTGCTCAATTTCTGCCCTGGCGGCGATGGACTGTCCACACCATGGGGCATAGAAGAACAGCAGAACCACCTCCGAGTCCCGGCGAATGTGCTTTGCATAGTCCAGTTGCCCCTGGAAGAGGTCAAGGACCGGAGACCTCAAGGAGAAAAAGCTGACAGGTGGCTTTGCTGGTATTATCACATCTTTTGCTCGACTAAAAAAAAAAAAAACAAAGGCAAATAAGACTGCTTAGTTTACCTTCTTCTAACAACTCTGTAAGGAAAGAGAATGAAGCTTAAAAGAAAAGCCTTCTTTTACTAAGGAAAAAAAAGAGAGAGAGAGAGAGAGTCCCAAAATCACCGCCCTGGGGTGAACAGTAACATCTGTGCTGAGTAACATCTGCAAGAGCAACAGGCTAGAAATGACCCTGATATTCTCTTCTCCAGGTTCGCTGGGAGGGCAGTGGGGAGCAGAAAAGGTGTCTTTGAACAATCCATATTCTTTTCTTAAAAAGATTTTTGCTATAGGGTGCATGCACTTGCAGGAGAGACAGACAGAAAGTGAATAATCACCCCTCCAAGGGGATAGCCGTGATGTAATCCCTTCCTCTCTCCATTCTCCTTAGGGATTTTGGGCACACATGCACACACATCCAGTGTGAGCTTTAAGTCACCAGGTCCAGGACTTGAACCACAGTCAAACACATGGGAGTCCAATGCCTTAACCACAATGCCACTTCCTGGCCTGGAGAAAACATTTAAGTTTATTGGCTGGAGTTGTCCTAAACTTACCCAGGGAATTCAGGCAAAAGTAACAACTAAATAATAATATACACTTCTCGGGCCAGCCAGTTGTGTGGTGGCTAAGGTGGCTAGATCACACATGACCAATAGCCCAGTTCAAGTCCCAGACCTGGCAGCTTGGAAAACATGCTTGGCACATATGCATGTGTGCCCAAAGTCCTGACAGCAGAATGGAAAAAAAGGGATGGTGGTGAGGCCAACCCCCACACCTGGGGGGGGTTCTCATTTTCTCTCTTAGTCTCCCTATCTTGTCTCTTTCTGGCGAGCACATATACCCTATAGCAAAAACTTTAAAAGTAAATAAAGAATAATAAAGCAACAGCCTATTTAACTGGAAAACAGGCTATATGAACACTTGAAGTTTCCAGAAGGAAGAAGTCAGGAGGAGAAAGAAGAGTGGTTAGAAGTTACAGAGCTGCCATTACTTTCCCCATCAAACAAACAGGCCCTGGCTGAGGCGGCACCCCACCAAGTTAAAGGAACCTAGTAGACACCCTGAGCTGTCCACATGTCTACACTGAAACAGAATAAAACCACTATAGTGGTTTACCTAAGAAACAGAGAGACTATAAAAACAGAACCCTAGGAGCTGGCTCCATGACCTAGTATCTAAAGGAACCAGATCCCACATGGCTGACCGTGGTCCGAATCTCAGCCCCAGTAGCTTGAAGAACACGCTGGACACATGTGCGTTGAGTGCCCAAGGTCCTGCCAAGATGGAGAAATGGAGAAGGGACTGTTGCGTGACCGTACCCAATAGGGGGTGCTTTCTCT